AGCTCGACCAGTCAGACTGGGGAAAGAACACAGTCCTAGAGGACAGCTGAGAGGGAAACCATCATTGACAGCTATGGTATCAATGGCAGGTAACGGAACAATCACTGGCACTCACTCTGAGCAAGACAAACATGAAACAATCAGCGTGCTCCTTCCTACTGACAAAAGAACAACAGCATGGATGTGAACAAAATCTTGAGTTCTGCGTGGGATGTTGTGATTGGATGAGAGGCTTTGGTCTGTGAGCTGACCTGGACTTCATATCCCTTTGTAAAGGTTCAAATGTCCAAGAGTCTGTTGGTTTAGGGACAGCTTCACAATGAAATTCTCGGCAGAGGAAAGGGCAGTACAGCCTTAGCTGACCTCTTTCTTGGGACAAGCATTGTCAAAAAGGACATGTGGATAAACACATCCTTTTGTGTTTGTGCTGCATTACACAGTTATGCTGGACAGGGTAATCCATTATCTTTTATCCTAGGAAGTGTTTCCACTGCAGGTGAGTTTTGCTTAATCTCACTAGGCTCCATAACAGGTCTAAAGTCGCCAAGTTGACTAGGCAGTACCTCTTATATTTTTACAATTCTGTGCTGACAGCTGATCATGATCAAGATTTTTACTTACTTGTGGAATGATTTTGTTTTGCTTCCAGAATGTGCTTTATATTAATCATTAATAAAAATACAAAATAGAAATGCTAAAAAAATCAATAACCTGGGTTGTGTATTAAAATGCGTCTTGAGGAGTGGACTGCTCCTTTTCAACTGTAAAACAACAAATTCCTTTCATTAATGAATATATTCAACTCAGAAGTATTGAACACCACGACAGCAACATTAATGCTGTGAGTTGGCTGCTACAGAACTGTACTGACTCACTGGACATCTTTGTAGCCTACTAAGTTAAAGGCTGTCTATGATGATACAAATGTGATTCAGGTAGATGGTGCACAAATCCAAGGTGGACCACCTGTGGTGAGCTGAAGCATGCCACTAGACAATTTGATTGTCAAGGAAAAAGATTCAAGGCATATGTGACAGTTAGAAGTGACAGGGTAGAAGATATTCACTAATCCTTTGACTTCTGAGCTGTCAAGTACACTACAATGGACCACGGCTGTGAGCGTTAAAGCCTCTTTGAGAAGAAACAAGGCAGTCTCAAGTGGAAAAGGCAGAAGGGGCAGCAGTTGCAGGAACAGTTTACAGTCTAGGAAGCACTCCCAGTTGTGTGATTAAGGATTCACCATACACAGACAAATGCGTCCATTTGACCTGTCTTCCACCAGCACAGTAGCACCATTTTCAGGTAAGTGGGACTCACATCAGTGGTGACCAATTTACATACTGCTCCTGTGAAAGAAAAGGTCATTCTCTTTACAATAGATTTGCAGTGATGAGCCCCCTAAGTGAGTCAAGGTCTAAAGATCTTTCCTCAAAAGCACTTTTGCTGCATAGCAAGGGTTGTAGCAGACTGGTCTGAACTACACACTGTGCCATGTAAAATATTAGTGGTATGTAAGTGCACCAGTCCGGACTGAGCTCTTCATGGTTTCTATTGCATTAGCAGCTTCATCTAAACAGAATTAGTAAGGACTGTATTAGGGAGAAAGGTATGGATGATTCAGAGGTTTTCTTCTTGCACGGACAACTAAAAGGGTTAAAAAGTCCACCTCTACTCTCCAGAGGCATAATTTGTTCTAGACAATTTCAGAGGCATTTTGTGTATTGACTTTGGATTTCTGTTTTAAAATCACATGGCATTTAGAGAGGTCAAAGCTGTTTCTTTTATTGTCTGTCCATTCTTTTATTTCAAAGGAATTATGTGACTGCTTTCTGCTTTCTATTGTATATTATGACTGTCTTGCAGACCATGAATGTTTCTTCAGCTGGTTTGTTCAGCTGATGTGCCATGAAGTTGCTTGTGGAAAACCTGGAAGAATGGTCTCTGTATGTACAAAGGCACATTTTGAACCTAGCATCTGGTGCTGTGACCTGTGGAAAAGAACAACTCACCTTAAACTACTCTTCAAAATTCTAGCACCGAGTTCAAATCCTTTTCTGGTAGCATCTGACTGGGATCTAAATATCCTGATGCCTGAATTTAAAAAGCAACAGAAGTCTTTCTTATCTTCTCAACCCTTCTTTCCCCAACACATTTTTCTTTAGCTCTGTAATTCTTTTCTATGCAGATGCTCTGAATATTGCTTTTGAAATTAAGTTGCATTGTCACAATATGCTCACTGAGTGTTTTTGTTGCACAGACTGCGACTATGTCAGAGTTCCTTGAACTAGATTGCTCTAGCTGTGCTTTGTGAAACGCTGTGTCTATGCACTTTTACAATGCAGCAAGTGACACCAGACAGTTGCATACAACTTTTTGCAGAAAAATCGACTTCAATATTATTAAATTTAACAACTGAGATTTGAAGAATGTGCTCTTTGTGGTCTTTCTCATGTTCCCTGGTAGCTAAATTTTTTCCATTCCTCAGCAAGAGGTATGGATTCTGGTAGGAAGAAAAACTAGTTGTATTGATGGCCCAGCCAACAATAGAAAAAGATTGCAATAAATACAGTGTGGTCCTGCATATACTGATCTTACCAAAATTTGTGAGTTCACCAAATGGTGATGCTGAGTGTGATCTGGCCCGTCAGTACTCACAGCAGAGGAATAATAAGGAAAATAACAAAAAATTCCTTACAGACATTCTGCAAGACTGAATTCCTCAACTTTTATTTTTATTCTATTTTAACAAGTTATGCTACACTATTTACTGCCATAACCAAATCTTACTTACTATTCAAGTTCCATTGAACAGCTTATACCATTATTTTTGCTTCAGACATTTCGATATGCTCCTTCCTTTTCTGGCAGGTTTCACAGGCTATGAATAATGAATCTTCCTTTTCGGAGATTTTAGGGTAAAATCTTTTCATTCAGACTTTTTTTTGTTTGTTTCAAAGAATGGACTGATTCCAACTAAAAGTGCATGTTTGACATTGAGCTCCATCCATCACTTTATGGGGTAAACACAGCATGGGGCGTGTCACAAAACAGCACAAGATATATTACAAGGAGTTCGTCAGATCTGCCCCACGTACAGCTGAGAAGCTGTGCTGTTACCTTCGCAGGTGAACCTGATAAGGTAAGCATTTCTTTCAATCATGATTTAAGTTCTAATCGGCAATTTAAAAAAATTATAAGTATTTTACAGAATTTAGAATCAGATTGATGTAACCTCATGTCCGTGGCCTTCAATATCAGTTGAAGAAACAAATTATTAAAGGATGCCTTCTGCAGAAATCTTACCTACCTTCACATGTGTGTTCTGTATTATTTTACTGGTTTACACTCTGCCATACATAAAGCCAAAGTATTTGTCTGTATGTACTATAATTTTGTTTACTAACTCTTCCACATTGAAAAGCAGTGTACATATGTAACACATTACAACAGATGTTCTTCCTTCTTCCTTTATTACTTTAATTTTTCATTCGGAATCAAAAGAAAAAAATGAATTTGTTTAAATTCCAGGGGTTATGGAAGATATTCTCTGAATCAAATTAAGGAATGCAGCATGTTCAGGTGACCCCAGCACATTGCAGCTCCGTGTTATCTTTAATAGTTACATTTTCAAAGATTAACAACAAAAACATTTTCTTCATGAATCTCTTTCTTCACCAAGAATATAAATGGAGCTTAAAATCTAAAATATAAGAGTAAGCAGAATAAGCAAATTATAAAAAAATCTACCTTATACTACCTATACAAGCAGTTCCATTTAGAGAGAGAATGATCATCCATTCTAGCAGGGGAGCAGTTAAATGCATTGTTTTTCAAATTATCCCACATTATGAGATGACTGTCACATGAATGTGTTGATTCCATAGGGATTGTGATACATGTGGCAGAGTACCCTGGATTTTGTTCTCTAGCAGCCACAGAGGGAAGCAAATTGCTTGAAGATCCTCAGGAGCTCATACGTTATAAGTGGCATAAACACTATACTGTCGCATTAGACTTTACAGTATTGTATTTTCTACAGTGTGTTGTCTTCTTTACTAAGAAATCCTTCCTTTTGGGGCTAGATGAAGTGCTAGATGCTGAAACTACAGGGAAAATTTTACAAGAATATTAGAGAAAGGGCAGAAAAAATATTTAAATATTGGATATGTGAAGATCTTTGCAAATTAAACATGAGACTAAACAAGCACTGTTTTATTAAAAGACAGATTTTATTTAAAAAGTGCCAATAAAAATTAAAGAACTTTTTAAAACAGTGAGATATTATTGAGTCAATGATGAATGGAATGTATTAGTCATAGATGTTTGTCATAAACTGGATTAATTTATTAAATCATTTGTAGTCTTCATTACTGTGCCTTTATTATTTTACTTAAAAAAAAAAGAAGGCAATGTTGTTAACATTTGAGACCTCCGATAAAGTAGGTGGTGTAAGAACCTAGCTTCCATTTACACTGGGCTGAAATTACAGTGAATCTAGTAAAACTTATGCTGTTGCTTCAGCACATTGTATTCTGGAAGTAACTGTAGTTTGGATAATAGGGGGCTGCTCCCCTTTTAAGGTCACTAATCTTAAAAGTGATGTTAAAAGCTATAGTGAAGAATCTGATTTGGAGTCTCAAAAAAATTAAGATTTTGGGAACAAACCTACGTGTGTTTTTTTTCCTTAAGGGGTGAGAAATGACTGTCAAGAAGCTTCCTTCAAGATAGCTAATATCCTTTGCAAGATTTTTAACAAGATGGTATACATGTACAGAGAAAGACAAGTTTCAAATACAGGAATCACCAGCCTATGCATAGCTGGCAGATGTCCAGCATTTTGATTGCTCCTGAATCCAAAAGCATGTCTTTCTTTTAAATCCACACCACTGGATTCTGTTTGCGGAAAAACACCCTGTGCACCAAGTTCAGGGGTTCACGTATACAGACTTTATTGCATTACAATTAACATATTCCATCATAATAAGTCAGACTTTCTGTTTGCTTCAAACAATCCAGGTTTCACAATGGGCTCCATCAGTGCAGCAAATGCAGAATTTTGTTTTGATGTATACAAAGAGCTGACGGTTCACCATGCCAATGACAACATCATCTTTTCCTCCCTGAGTTTGATTTCAACCCTGTCCATGCTGTATCTGGGAGCAAGAGGTAACACTCAGTCTCAGATGGAGAAGGTAAGTTACTCACATGGGTGTAAAGCAACATCTACTTGTGCTAGTTGTTCCTTCTAAGTAACATCACTGAAAAATATTATCCAATTACAAGATTCTCATCTATTTTAATGCACTTTTATGTAAAGAAGTAAGCCAAAGTCACAAAATGGAGAAATGAATCAAGAGTTATATAGAGAAAATAATAAAAAAAATGTATATTTTCACTATAACAAGCAGTTGGCTTTAACGTAGAAAAAAAAATCTCAAGGACAATAGTAAAATAGATTACCAGTCAGTAAATTTTATTATATGATTTTTTCTAAATTCTCACAACTTCCAGATAATGTAATCAGATTTTTTTAATATATAAAAACTATATATCCCAAGAGGAGAGGAAGACAGAATATTATTAGCAGTACAAAATATGTAACTCAATTAATTTGTAGATATTAACTATAAAAATATAATCTAAGCAAAGAGTGGTATTTACAGTTTCCAAGAAGGCCACAGAGGGCATAGACCAGTTGTAAGCTCGCTTGTAAATTTTTAATTAATCTATGTTCTCAGTTAGCACCTGTTGTTTTCCTGAGCCAACAGTTTTACCTCAAGCATCCTGTGTGAATCTGAGTCACATTATTTTTGGTCACGCTTGTAATTTCTACCACTGGTATTTTCTCTTGCAGGTTCTTCACTTTGATAATGTTACAGGAGATAGAGACACTACTGACTCCCAGGTAGAGAAATAATTTAATCTTTCTTTCTGTCTTATTTTCTCCTTAGAACAAAACTAGAACTGTTCTGCCTCTCCTTCTGGTAGTTTCAGACTCTGACAAAAAACTTTGGTAATGGCCTCATACCAAGGGGATCTATGGAGAGAGGGAAGAAGAGTGTGATTTACCTGTTTTTTAACAAATAGAGAAGGACAGCAGGTTGCTCATCTTTCATGAGAACATGGGGCAGAATGCTGTGAACACCAGAGTGCCTTACTGGGCAAGTGCTGGTGGAGGATGGCATGTGAAAGGGACTCATCACCTGGAGCCAGGGTACAGCAGTTAGATTTGCAGCTGAGAGATTCCAAAGCAGGGCAGGAAGATGCAGGGCAGAGAAGAGCCCAGAAGTCTCAGTGACAGGAACACAATGCCATCTTATAAACAGCACATGTCAGGGGACTTGTCTTGACGAGGATGAACTTGCCAGTTCAGTGCACCATCACCACAGCACCAGCTGTCCCAAAGGTGACAGTCCTATGTTTGTGGGGGAGGACTTCTCTGTAGCATGACTCTTAACTGATAGGGACAATATTTTAGGGTCTTATTTCCTTATGCAATCTGTCTTCTTATTTTCATGTCATCACCTCAGTGTGGCCCTTCTGAACACATCCACAGTACATTGAAGGATCTTCTCTCAGACGTCACCAGGCAGAATGCTACATACTCGCTCAGGATTGCTGACAGAATCTATATTGACAAAACATACCCTGTTCTTCAGGTGAGTTACACTGTGAACTGACTTCCATGAGATTTCCTGTGAAAGCCCCTGTGACTCTACCCTAGAGATGCACCACCAACAATAGCCCACTCTCTGTCGATAAAGAGGCAGTTGTGAGCCGTGAGAGGAACTGGTACAGAAGGAGTTTGGACCTACTGTGGCTTTTAAGTAGCTGTTAGTTGGTGATCAGGGAAAAGTATTCAGGCATAAAATAAGCCCATGTTACATGTCACGGATACTGGTCAAGATTGCTGTTTGTTTGCTAGAAAAAGGGCTTTTAATGAAAAATGTAACTTTTAAGGGGAATTAAATACATTTTATGACTGGAAATAATGAAGACTAACATTGTCAAATTTGGATTTTTTTCAAAGCCAAATATCAAAGCTTCCTGGTGAAAGGAAGCTTTGTTTTTGAAATCTAAAAATGTAAGAACACAGTATTCAAAATAAAAAGTAGACAAAAAGAGGAGACAAACATTGTCTGTTCTTGAAAATGTTTGTTAAACTGAGGTTGGTTTGGTAAAATAAAGAAAATATTTCAAAATTGTAACTTAGAGCCTTATCTCATCAAAAAGTGCCAGACCTCTATATGTGAAGCAGTCTTTGCTGCACAGCTTTAAGATTCAGTTGCAGGAAGACAGCTGTGACTGTTCAATGACTGACATGTTCAATGACTAACATGTTCAAACACAGGAGTAAACATTCAACGTCCTTTTAACCACTCTGCTTTATGTCACAATCTTGCATTATACATCTATATAACTCCAAGTTCTCACGAGTCTGACAACTGCAATCTTTCTGCTTATAGGAATACTTAAAGTGTGCAAAGAAATTCTACAAAGCAGAGTTGGAAGAAGTTAACTTCAAAACAGCTGCAGAGGAAGCAAGACAGCTCATTAACTCCTGGGTGGAGAAAGAGACAAATGGTAAGGACTGAAAAATGGGTAGCAAGTATTTTCTCCCACCTACCATAAACTATATCCTTGTCTTCCGCTCCTCATAATGTCTAGAAAAAGTGGGTCAAGCAAGAGCAGATTGCTTATTGCTGTAAAAGCAAAACTCCACAAAGCAAGACCCCTCACCCTCATCCCTACATTGCAGAGGCTGGTGCATACCAGAGAAGGTGTATCTTACCACTCTCTGCCCTGTCTCTTTATTAAAGGACGGATTCAAGATTTGATTGTGCCAGACTCTGTTGGTCTCGATACTGCGCTGGTCTTTGTGAATGCCATTTACTTCAAAGGGATATGGAAAACTGCGTTTAGAGAAGACGACACTCGGGAAGTGCCCTTCAATGTGACAGAGGTAGGAGGGCACAGACGCACCTTCTGGCCAGAACAGCTGTTGGCTCACACAGGCAGCAGTCTGGGTGTTACAAATACAACCTATTGCTGTCAGAGATTGGGTGATTTAGTTGAGTGCCTCACTGTGAGTGCTTGGCCTAAAGCCAAGTGGTGTTTGCAAGATCTGTGTCTGACCAGGATTCCGGGGCACACAAGTAGGCAAGAGACGAAAATGGAGACACAGCTCTTCTTCAAAGGCAACAAACTTGAAGATCAAACTCTGTCTCTTTCAAAGGGCTTGTACATTTGACTGACCAAAGAAAAACATTGCTCCCCAGTCACATCATCTCACATTTCTGTTTTTGCAGCAAGAGAGCAGACCTGTGCAAATGATGTTTCAGAATAGTACCTTCAAAGTGGGAAGAGTGGCTGCAGAGAAAATGAAGATCCTGGAGCTTCCATATGCCAGCGGAGAGCTGAGCCTGTTGGTGCTGCTGCCTGATGACATCTCTGGTCTGGAACAGGTATGACCCTGGTAGGGGAAGCAGAAGAGTTATCACTTCAGTGGGGCTTGGCTGCTGTCAGACTTCTTGATGTCCCAGTTGTCCCAGCTGTGCTGGGCTGGCAGGGGAGCACAAAAGTGACCCAGGTGCTAGCAGGTGCTCAGGCAGAGACCTGAGAGAGCCCTGAATTCAGTTTTATAAAATGAAGGTAAGGCAGTGTAATGCTGCTGTAGTCCTGCAGAAGAGGATGTTGCCATATGCCCCAATCACCATCAGGTATCAGAAACCTACACAAAGCCAGATTTTTATCACTTTGAGTGACTTCAAAGGTTTGCTAAAGCAGAAAAGTTTATCCTAGGGGAAATAAAAAATGGAAGTGAGGAGGAAAGGATTCCAAGAGGTGACCAAAAAAAAAAAAGAGAAATGTAGCACTAGAGAAGAATGACATTGAGGAAAGATATCAATAAAATATGTTCCAAGAGGAACAATTCTAGGGCCAATTTGATTTGATGTTTTCAAAAACTGTATTTTCACAAAAAAAGACTTGAACTGATGAAAAAATTTTCAGATGACAAAGTTTTAAAGAAATTCCTCAAGATAGATGAAATACAGTCCATAGTCAGGAGGAAGCATACTGGATAAACAAACGCATTTAAGATTAAGTATTGGTTCTACTGTGTACATAAAGTAAATGTGAAAAAACAGTAACACGTGGTATAAACACAGCTGTTAAGGCCACTGAACTTTTGTTTCAGACATTTCATTCCCTGCCTTTCTTTACAGCTCGAGAACAAAATCAGCTATGAAAGACTCATGAAGTGGACCAGTCCCAGTGTGATGGAGCAGAAGAGGGTGAAAGTGTACCTCCCGCGCATGAAGGTTGAGAAAAAATATAACCTCACATCTGTCTTAACAGCCTTGGGTATGACCGACCTGTTCAGCCCCTCGGCCAATCTCTCTGGCATCTCTTCAGCAGAGAGCCTGAAGATATCTGAGGCCATTCATGAGGCGTACATGGAAGTCACTGAGGAGGGCACTGAGGTGACTGGCTCAGCTGTTGTGAAAGGAGATATCCAAGAATCCTCTGAGTCTGAAGAGTTTAGGGCTGACCACCCATTCCTTTTCTTGATCAAACACAATCCAAGCGACCTGATCCTCTTCTTTGGTAGATATTGTTCTCCTTAAAGAGAAAAAGAGCTGGAAATAATGCTTGCCTTCCCCTCAGAAACAGCCCCCCTTTACTCTAGTATTGTAGTATAATCTCATCTCTTCACTACTTTCTCTAAGTGGAAAGCTTTCAATATCTAGTAAGATATTCTGGAAGAAGTGTGTGACTTTTCAGATCTTTAGGTGCAGGTATTTCTGCTTACACAAGTTATACTCAGGATTTATGTCCAGGATTAAGCGAGAATTTTGTGAGGTAGCTTAAAAGTATTTCCTATTGTCATTGAATAACTTGAGAGATAGGGCTAGTGTTTTGATTTTTGTGAAAAAATCTGACACTGATATTGAGAATCTGATTTTCTTATAGGAGTTCTCCAAAATAAACACAGCTTTCAGAATAATCTTGTTCCTTGAACTTGTTGAATTGATGCCTGGACAACTTGCAGATGAAATTCTTAACTTCAGCAAAGCATTCTTCTTCCAGGAATGCATTTGTGCTAATTTGTGCTGCATGTACTGTAAAGATAGGTGTCTTGTTCTGAGGGAGTATACAGAAATTTTACCATTTCTTCATAAATCATCAAATTCAAATACAACATCTTCCTGATATATAATTTCCCATCTTCATTCCTGTGACATGTCATTGATTTTGTGAATGTTAATTCATGGTCCTTCTATTTATTCTAATAAAAGCATTGCAAACTAAACATGCCTCCACCTGTTCTGGGTTACTGCACCCCACAACCAAAATATATGATACAGTGGGTCGTGATTTTTAACAGAAGTAGTTTACACAAGGATTTAGATCCTATTTTCAAAACTAGAATGTACCCATATATGAAGTCAATAAAGAGCTTAACATTTTTTTTCTAAAATTTTGAGCTTAAGCAGGTAATCCCTACAGCTCCTACCGTTACCTTGAGCTTATCTCAATATGACATATCAAATAACTCAATTTTTTGAATCTGCTATTGTATTTCCAGGGGGTTTTAAAATATTTCCTCTTATTCCCATCAGTAAATATATTGGGGTTGTGCTTAAGAGATATATATCTTCAAAAACATGAGAAGAGTCTTTTTCTTAGAAGGTAGACAGCTTCAATACCCACAGGAACCACACGAGGAAACCTTTGTTACTGCCGTTCAATAAAATAGTCCTCTAAAGATATTACTTCCTATTTCCCAGTCTTTAGAGGAAGATTCCTTAGGTTGGAGTTTATCCAATTGAAAGAATTATTAGTGGTAATTGCTGACTTAAGCAATCTTCCTTCTGCTGGGATACACATGCAGAACTGCAAATCACAGTATCACTTCCTAAAAAGCGCTTAAAGAAAGGAGATACGTGGAGCTGCCTCAAACATTTTCAAAGTCAGTATTAAATATAACTTGAAATGATGATGTTAACTGCAGGGAAACACATTTTCTTACCTGTTATGAAGTCTATGGGAAAATACTAGTCTTCCCAAGACAGTTATAAGAGATTAGATACCGTAAACACAAGTATTTAAGTAAAAAATTATTTTAATATATATGACATTTCAAGGTTTACTGTGCATATTATGTTTTGCTTCCCTTATGGCCTAAAGCAGTTAACAGAGTTTTGCTACAACTAAAAAAAAAAGAAGAGGAAAAGGCAGCATTTATAAAATACTGTTCTAAGGAGCAGAGTGCGAAATGTTATTAAACAATTACAAATCTGTTATGAAGCTGAAACAAGTATGTCTGTCACTCTACACTTTCTAGGTACAAAGGCAATAAAATGAACATTTTTTATAGAAGTATTTATTACATAACATGAATATAAACCCCCCACTATTCTGTTTAATTGTTTCTTTCCTTGATGATTATTTTAAAGAAAAGAAATTGAGAAAATCAAGGCTGAAATGGTAAATGGATTCCTAAAACTACATACGAGAGAGGTTTACAAGCCACAGAGTCCACCTAATGTCCTCACTGTGAAACAGAGCTATTTGACTAATTTTGAACAGGCCATTAGGTGTCACTAGGCATACAAAATGATGTCTCAGTCTTCAAAAACTAGGTTTGGTAGCTTAGTGTACGTTCCAATTTTGTTCTTAATTTTTATGCAAGTAGATGGTTATGATCAATATACTGAAAATGTAGACCTGTGGCACTGTGCTTGGAACCTAGTCATTTTTGAAGAAAAATCCAGAAATGTTATTTGATGAAAGATCAGAGGCATTTTAAGAGGTCTGTGTCCTGGATGAAAAAATATCACAGTCAAACACTGTAGAAGGAGTAGAGCTATTTGGTTTATGAAAGAGAAAACATCCTTCATAGAGGCTAAAATGAGAGGTAAAAGTGCAGATTCAGCAAGGTTGAATAATATCCATACCCCTGTATCAATGTCTGGGCCCAGTACTGCACCGGTGCATTGCTGGTCTGGGTTGGTAGGACCTGCTGTAAGGGCACTGCTGTGATCAGTGTGGCTGCTGCAGCCCCCATGGGAAGCAGTTCTGAAAAGAGCAGCATGGATGGTGTTACAAAGGGATGAGGGAAGAGCAGCCATGAGGAGAGCAAACACTGCCTGCTGCTTCTGACCTCTCCTCTGAAGTCCAGGAAGAGTTTAAAAACATGGATCCCAGCTCCCACGAAGTCTAGGTATTGTCCTAAAGTCCTTTTCATTCCCTGACAGCCTCACTGAAGATGGTATGTCAATAAATTGCCATCTGTCCATTCACTACACTCTGTTTTCACTTTGTGCAGTGTTGTTCTGGATACACAGTGCTGGTAGGGGTCTGTGGAATAAAAACAGACATACACATAAAGACAGCGTTCAATATGCTCTGTGAATCAAGTGTGCCTTTCCTTCTCATGTCATCTGGGGAAGGGTTAGAGATGGCATATCTTCTCTGCCCGTTGGGGAATATAATTGTCTGGGACCATTCCACATCCCTCTGCATATTTGACTTGCAAGATAGGCCTACCTTCTCCTAAGCAAACCAAATCCAAGGCTGAAAGCACAAGATTTGGCAGGCAGTATGCTGTAACAGAGTCCTCAGAGGAGATGCACTCAGAGAACCTCTTGGACTCCAGGGCAAAGCTGTCCTGGGACCCCAAATGGTATTTGACAAAACATAGCATGCTGAACAAAAACAGATGCTATATGTATTTTGGGAAGGCTTTGACACAGAGCAGTGGTTCAGTTTTCTTCTGGCTAGTGAGATAAGATTTTTCAATCTGGAAAAGAGACAGCAGAGAGGGGATTGTCAAGGAGCAGCAGGGGTGAGGCTGCTTGGCAAAGGAAGCAGATGACAGCAAGGCCAGCAGGGCAGTGGCATCCCCCATAAGGCATTCAGTGCTCAAGTTCCCTATACTCTTGCTGCAGTCCACTAATTCTCGAACAAGTCTGTAGTGATGAGGTAGGTCAAATATCAAGTCTAGAGGTTAAGTACACACATCATGGTCTGTACCAGCCCTAACCAGACCACTGCTATACATTAGTGACCCACATAAAAACGGACCTAATCAGGTTGACCAATGTGTGCTGTTTCGTGCTAAGTTATGCTGTACATACTGCTTGGTGTCCTGGACTATACTGTGCTGAACACATCATGTGGCTGTGGGCTAAACTTTAGCTGCTAATGGTAATGGAGAGGCTTGTAGATGGTCCCAAACTGGCACCTGGTGATGATGCTGCCAGCACATCCTTGACCTCATTGCAGTCTACAATGCAGGAAGAGAAGGGGCAGACACTGATCTCTTCTCTGTGGTGACCAGTGACAAGACCTGAGGGAATGACCTGAAGTTGTGTCAGGGGAGGTTTAGACTGGATATTAGAAAAAGGGTCTTCACCCAGAGGGGTGGTTGGGCACTGACCAGGCTCCCCAGGGAAGCGGTCACAGCACCAAGCCTGGCAGAGTTCAAGAAGCATTTAGATGATAGTCTCAGGCACACGGTGTGTCTCTTGGGAATGGTCCTGTGCAGGGCTGTGGGTTGAACTTGATGATCCCTGTGGGTCCCTTCAAACTCAGTATATTGTGTGATTCTGTGATTTTGTCATACCGTTATTCATCAGTAGAAATGATAAATGATAAAGAGTTGTTTACTTCTAAGAACATACCTATAAGAGTGGAAAGATCACACAACCAGAGAACCTCTGCATGCACAGGATATGTAGTGTTCTATGCCCTGAATAAAGATTCATCCAGTGCTGCACTGCTTGGGGTTCCTAGCATTGGAAGGGAAATTATCTATGTTATCTCCTTTTTCCCTCCCATGTTATTTCCAATAAAATGCCCTTTAATAATTTTCTTCCTTGTGTCTAAAATAAATACTTGCAGTAGTACATCATGGGGTACATTTTTGTGAGGTTCATGGCCAGGCACAGGCATGAAAGCTAGCAAGGACCACAATCAAGAGACTCAGTTTAAATTCTTCTCTCAAGTGAAGGGGATGTAGGCAACCCCATGGAGGCATCTCACAGCTCTATCACAAACAGTGCTCTGATCCAAAGCTTGGCAGTTGCTTTAGATGTGCCCAAGCCCAGGCAGTCAAACTCCTGGGAGAGGAATGATGTTTTCAACAGCAGGTTTCTGAAGTCCTGAATTATATGACAACAATGACAGAGATTGGCTATTCAGTATATCTTCTGACACATAACGGTATTTTAAAAAGTTAGTAGAAAGCAGTTAAAAAAAATCGCAGAAGATAGAGGTAAATGAAAACAAACAGGTATTGGAATGATGGAACTCATGGCCAAAGAATGCTGGAGATGATAAAATTTTACATGACTTTAGAGAGAGACTGGACAAAACCATGGAAGAGAAATCCATTGAGAGGTAATAAATATATAGAAAATACTACCACCTGTTTAAGTTCCAGGACTGAATGGCCACTGTCAGAGCCCTGACAGTGTGACCAGCCCCAGCAGGAGATTTCCCCAATACCCTCTGCATATGGGTATGGAGCCTATATTGGGCACTGGCACCATTTTGGTACTAGGTATGGTCTTTGTGAGAGGAGGACACAAACTGTCCTATGATGAATGAAAAGAACTCA